CACTCCAAATTCCAATTCGATTAAGATAGAGGGCCCACATGAAAACCTGCTAATGTTGATGTGGCTTCCTCTCTAAATATTGTCATTTTTTAGGATAATATACAATTTTAATTTCATTTCTAAGAAGTGTCCCTACTTAGTCTGTTTAAGCTAAATTATTTGACACAAGGTTTTATTATTTTTTTTACTGATTTACTCCATCTTACCTTTTCGAGACCAAAATCAAAAAGTTGAGTAAAAAATAAAGGAAGCTCTGAAATCATGGTGTATGCTCCCCACGCTTGCGAAAAATGCGCCACAACGATTGCCCACACTGGAAGAGAATTCAAGATTGATTTCCATGGAATTGGAACATCCTGTAACGAGGTGAGTTATCAATGAATATATACCATGAATCAATGAGAAGATGGATCGATAGACGGACTGATAGATAAATGAATGAATTTCTGTCTGTCCCCACGGTCTGTCTGATCTGTCTGTTAGTCTTACAGTCTGTTAGCCGAGTCAAGTGGTCTTTCACCCTATTGGTTAGTTGGCTGTCAAGCTATATCCGGTCTGTTAGTCTTTCGGTCTTTCGGATAGACCTTTTGGCCTGTCGCATGGGCCTATCTGTCTGTCTATTTGTCTGTCAGCCTGCCTGTCCTTCTGTTAAACTGTTGATCTGTCGGTCTGTCAGTCTGTCTGTCTAACAGTCTGCCGGTCGGTCTACCTGTCGGTCTGTCGGTCTGTAGGTCTGTCGGCCTGTCACTCAGCCACTAGATCCTTTTGTATTCATTTGAGATAATTTTGCGATACAAGCCAAGTTTCCCTCCATACCTTTCTCTGTAAATCACCTGCTAAGCTAAGCTCTATGTACTCTACTTCTTCCTTCGAGATCCATGGTTGCTCTGAAGGTGAATTCCTGACCATTAAAAGCCATGTAAGAGACCAGATGATCCCACTGGTACCTAATGCGGGGTAGATATAAAAAGCATACTGCCCACTTTTACCTCTCTCTCGTGTAACCTCGCAGTCATAAAAACAAGCAGCATTTTTTTAACAAATGTCAACAAACGCAGCCGTAGAATTTCTAGTACGACAAAAAATTAAGACAAGCAAAGTGACACAAAAATGTTGTGATTGACTTAAACTTTATTAAATTCCACACATGGAAAGTTCTTTTCATATAGATCACGCAGACGAGCCCATAAACAGGTGCGGCAACTTTCTGAGAAGCACAAAGAGCAGTGTCAGAAGTTCTTGACCGACGACGTTTCATTAAATTGAACAAAGCAGCATTTTGTGGCTTGTGCGAAGCGCGAGCTACATGCTAACACCTTCAAAACAGGTGGAAGGCCGATGTTGATTCCACTATCAACTTGACTCAAAACTCTTGAAACTCAAAGATTTTAATACTAAAACTCCTGGGTAAAACTCAGGATAAAACCTCCGATTACAATCGATCGACGACTTCGAAAACCAACTAGGTCACATGGTGTAAGTTATACATATTTAGTCTCCCGGATGTCACGCAATCCCTATAAAACGGTAACAACAACCGATCTAGTGGCAAGCCAGTTTAAAGATGAATTTCTGAAGACAGTATCGTAGTTAAATGGCCAAATAGGTTGTCAAGTCTTTCTCATGCTTTCATGTCAAATTCTTGACAAAAAATCCACTAGCACGTAACAATGTTCTTCGCAGAAAAACACTTGCAATGTTACTCTTTTCTCTAAGAAATTAAACCACGTGAGTTTGCACACTTTTGTGATTCAGTTACCAAAGTTGGATACGGTGTAAGGCAAATCTTTCATCTACATGAAAGTAATTTCCCAAGCTTAAGAAAAACAAAACATTATTTGCATCACTTTGCTTTTTTTGATTTTTTGTTGTAAGACATCTATCCAGAAAAGTTTTGTCCAGCGTACTAATTACTGTCTGACGAAAAAAAAAATCCCAAAAGAGTAGAGTAACATCAACAAACCAAAACTCACCAAAAACGTAAAATATACAAGGCCAACCATAGTGGTCCGCAAGGTATCCAGACAGGAACATAGAAATAATAATTCCTGCTACTGCTCCTACAAAAAGAAGACAAAAATGAGCGCCTCCTTCAGAGACTTTGAACTTGTTGGAAGAAAAATCGTCAAACCATCTCACGCTAATGATCGCAAAGACTTTGATATTATGTAGCGTCAGTTATCCTGAAATGCGTTCAGAAACCAAAATATTTTTAAACACTTATTCCACGAGCTCGCGCGTTGGATATGAGATGGTAGTTAGCCAACGAGGCGCGTAGCGCCTCGTTGGCTATAATCATCTCATCTCCAACAAGCGCGAGTGGAATAAGTGCTTTATTAAAAACGCCCCCAAAATATTGAAAACCGCCAAAAATAAAATAAAAATAAAAAGGAACCAAAAAATTACGCGTACGCTTACCAGTTTTGTAGAGCATAATATCATAGCTTATATTCCATGATGGCTAAATAATATGATGACTTAAATAAGTTCTTTTATCTCATGCCTGCCTGGCGTCTACATGCGTAGTCTCGCAATACAAAAGTTCTTTTAATTTCCTCGCTATTCTTTCCGTCACATTTCGGAGCCTGAATAACTTAGCACTACATATAGGATCCATCTGGTGTCTATGAATGGGTTTTACATGCTTAACACTTTTCCACACGAACAAGACAAGTTTTTATAACTAAAATGTCAAGGTATTAGAGTGGACAGGTATGGCATTTTGTGTTTAATTTAAACATCCGACATATCACCTTGCGCATGGGATGCACAGAAGACTCAGGGCGTCTGTTGGCACCAGGCAAGGCCAGGCGACCTTTATAACAAGGTGAGTTCTGTTTCTGGTCTCCATTACCACTTGTTTTTGGAGAAGAACACCGGATCCCATCGATTAATTAACTGCTTACCTGAGGGGTTAAATGTTCCAAGTTTGCTCCTCTCTAAAGGAGGAGCCCATTTACTCCATAGCGCGTGTCCAGCTGGAAATACTGATCCCTTGGGAAAATAGATATTAGAAAGGCAATTGCATACATGCTCTGTGCGTGTGGTATAGATATTCGTATACATGGAATGCATATTTTGATCTTATGGAGAATTATGCACACTGTGCCTTTTTAGTCTGTATTTGGCCCAAACATAGTTAATAGAGGGGAATGGTTATGAATCTCGACAAAGTTCTTTGTTGTGCGGTTTTGTTCTCTTTTTTGGCCTTGACCGTGCACAAAACACAATAGTTGTTTACTGCTGACCGAAGAACTAATCAATAGAAATGTTTTGGTTGCGTAACTATTGCATAGTGTATGAAGGCAAAACAAACGATTGGACCTTCCAACATAAATCTTGCCATCTTTGTTTGTTCCTTTGATGTTTGCCGGGCTTCATAACCATTCCCCTCTATAAACTATGGCCCAAACAAACCCACTTTTATGACAACGATAAGAAAATAAAAAGAACAGTGGAGAGAACAGCAATCCTTTTTCATTAAATAACAGATTTTTCATTACCCGCGCGTGCTTTCTTACCTCTGCTAGGCCCATGGCAACTCTCAAAGCAATTAACGTTCCCACGTGCATTCTTGCAGCTAAGGGAGTGAAAAGAGTCAGGGCTCCCGTGGCGCCTACCGCCACACCTATCACTGTGGCGCCGCCAAGTTTTCGCGCCAAATATCCCCCTGGCAAATGCGTGAGTAAATATCCATAGTAGAATGCACTAAGAATGAATCCTGAGGACAGAAAGAATAATTTTAGACGCTGTGACTTTACAAATAACACTAGGCAAAACAGGATGAAGTTTAAGAGAGTTATTTTCCCATATGGGACCTCCAAAAGAAACCACCAGGCTTTTTCACTCTGAAAACGCATCAAATATTTTCCGTTCACACTACGCCGGAAAAATTTGAAAACGTAACAATCACTGGCCATTTTGAATTTGTGTCTGAGGAAAACCCAGGCAGGGAAATCACATGACTATCGTGACATCATCGTTTTCGAAAAATGCTCTGTTTTCCGTTCACACTAGCTAAAACTTAAAGCCGGCGTTTTCAAATTCTTAAAACACGAACAGCGTTTTCGGAAAGCTCCGTTTTCGTGACGGATTAGTGTGGACGGGACCTAATCTAACATTAAACGGTTGTACAGATGAGCATTAATTATAACACTTGTAGATAATGAATACGGTATACCTTGTGTTGTAGTGCTCCAAGAGAACTCTGCAGATTCCTGCATAAAGTAAAAAGAAGCAAAAGGTCGTAAACAAGAAGGGAAGATACCGACAGAATATGCCCCACTCAGTCATATAAAATGAAAGATAATTTTTTGCCGCTAAGTCTCTCACAAATGTCACAACTGGAGAAGCTGAAAACTAACAAGGAGTGATAATGTAGACTTGTTAAAAGTAAGGGCTTAATTAAATCCTCGACACCATTTAAATCGTTGACAAACGCTCAGGCCCCAAAGGGTGGCTAGTTGGCACCTTCTCACAGTTTTGTTCTCATGACACAATACGTTAATTAAATGTTTTACCTGTACTTTTTTTCCATCGCTGATGACAGAATGATTAGCCACCATCACTGCAAGAGCCACGCTGAGATTTACACGCATGGCATACACATTCGCGAATCCCAACATAAGAAACAGACCAATCATGTAACGCACTGGTAGACAACACCTTGTGTGACATGGGCATGGATTGCCCGATTGTGTCACTTTACTGTTACCTTTTCCAGTTGTGTTTCTGGACTCCATTGCAGGCGGTCTTTGTCTGGATAAAAAACAGCAGTTTGTCTCCGATAGCTTTTCCTATAAAAAGTTAAATACAATGTTTTGATAATAAAAACTAATAATACAGAATTTCCAAAAACGCAAGTTAAAATGGAAGTTGCAGTCACTGACTCTCTTTTAGTTTTGCTCAAAGTCATCGAAAAAGTAAAAAGAATATCACAGCTTTGTAACAAACCCGTGCAAACGGCTTGCACCAAATGGCCAAAACTTGGACTTTTTGCACTTTCGCATTTGTTTTTATTTTCAACCCGGACGGACTCAGTGCAGGTCACTCACCCTCATCGTCCCGGCTGGGACATAAGGTCATCCTGGTAAAACTTGAAATACTTTTTTCAGCTGGTAAAAGTGATTTCCCGTCATTTAAAGTTAACCATGAAACGAAACAGCGTTTTAATTATTACGTCTATGCTGTTTGGCGGCAAGTTAGAAAGGGAGTTTGCCTCAATCTAATTTTTATATTGAACGTTTTATATCAACTCACTCCAGTTATGGTCAATCAAGGCAAAAGTTTAAATCTCGCCTTAGATGAAACCATTTGTTATACAAGTTTATGGTTATTAGTCTTAATGGGCTAGAGAAAACCAGCCTTAGCTAGATAATCGTTATTTCAGTTCCTACGGTTCCTATTTTAGCACGATACAGTTCTAAAATGAAGCGGAAAAACTACATAAGCTTACATACACTCTTTTTTATAAGAATACATTTTACAAGAATATCGAGGCTGCAATTTTAAGAATATTTTAAGAATAAACCCAAGGCTGAGATTTTGAAGAGAATATTATTTTGTGTGTTGAAAGTTTGCAAATAGACAAAACAATTATGTTTTTAACTAATCCGTATAAAATTCTTCCTTTCTGTAAACGGCAAAACTAGCCAAAAAATAACAAACTCAGCACTAGCCGTGTGTTCGATGCTAAGAACATTTCTACAAGAAGTTATATGTGTCAAATTAGGCTTATTGCCTGTTGTCTGGTTCCAAAATTACTTCAACGCATCAATGTCATGAAGGACAGATAATCTGACGTTTTATCGACATAGTCCACTTTGAATTTTTTTTTTTGAAATCTAATCTAAGAATATTCACAGGAATATTTTCAGCCTAACATCGGAAGGAAAGTAAGAATAGCCTAGGCCAGAAAACAATATTCTTATAGAAGAAAAGAGTGTTGAGAACTCGCTTTGAGTTTCTCGTACACTATGTACAACATTTCAACATCTCTCTGTTGAAAATGTGGACCTATTTTTTCATTAGTAGAATTTCGTTAGAATATTCTACAAATATTATAAACTAAACGAAAATAGTTCTTCACATATTGAACTGCTTTTGTGCTGAAAGAATTGCACTGTGAGCATTTCAAAGAAACCAAGATGTCTGGCACGATGGTCTACTTAACCGATAGCGACTATCTTGTTATGCAAATATGATCGAGAACTAATGAAAAGCCGTTTGTTATCCATAACAAAGTGTGTTTAATTGGAAGAAAAAAAGATGGTTTCCGTGCGCATTTCTGACACTGTCCATCCGTTGATCGCAAGGGAATTCAAGGCTACAAATTCGAGGAAGTTAAACAAACAGAACAAACAGAATCATTTCGTCAGTAAGTTCTGTTTCAAGTCGCTTTTATTCGCTTTCCAGACGAGCTAGAGAAATAAGGTCTCATGAGAGCTGCGAGAAAAGTAAAACGGCCAAAACCGAATAACTTGAAGTTATGCAATCGCGCGCGATCGTTTGGAGTGCTCTCATCAGTCAGTTCCTGGCATGCTGGTAGACGGTCTTGTTTTCTAACTATAGTCCGCATTCCTATTTTGTTCCGCTGAAAGCCGTTATCACAGACAATTAAAAGTAACTTACCGCTTGAAGATCGTAACTTGATATCAGAATCTCGTTTAACACAAAGGTAATTTGCCGTGTGAAGCGCTTTCTCTTTGTACGCAAAGGAATAGGCTCCGGACTAAGCTTAGCACTCTAAAACTGTTTTTCCGAAGCTGCGGCTTCTTTCCAGTTCGGTGAATCCCAATCTCGTTCCCAGAGTCTTCGTTCCCCTTGACCAGCGGTCGGAAAACGAGAGCTCTGGGAGCAACACAGCGGTCAAACGTCTGCGCATGTACGAGCATTGGAGCGACTAAAAGGCGGTCAAAATGACATTGTTCTTTTCGTGAGTCATCGGCATCCTATAAATGACATTTCCCTCGTTATTTATATATTTGCTTATGTTTTAGCCTTTACAACGAGAGCTAACAGAAATAAGAGTTAAAAATTGTGCTACCTTCTGCTTGTTGCAGTTCTTTCTTTTCCGCGGTATGTATTTTCCGTGCTCCCTGAATTTTCTGTCCGCCTCGACTTTGCATTTAGTGCACCAGTTTTTTCCAGGTTTGTAGTTTAGAAAAGATTTTCCCACCTGGTCAAAGACCAGGTACAGGCGGTTTG